ATGCGTGACCCCCAACACTCACTGGTTTTATTCTTTTGACCCTTGTCTTCCCTTTTCCAAATCCACACACTGGTTTACCCAAAAAAGTCTATATTTGTAACCTCACAACTGTCTGACACAAAACAATGAAAATATACCATAAAGTTAAAATTATCCCTGAGGCAGAAGGTTAACAAAAGTATCTAATACGATAGTTGAGAAGAATAATGTAAAGAGGGCACTAAGTCAACAAGGTTTTCCTCCTCCTCAACTTCATGCATTTTTGTTTTAGATAGCATTGCTCAAATAACATTTTCACTGTTTCAGAGTTTTAGAGTTTAACTTGGAGGAGAAATGTTCTTGCCCTGTATCTTGTGCCATATGAAGCATTCAAAAATGATCCCTCATTAGAACTGAGTTATGGTCACTCCATGTTATGAATGAGTACGAGAAAACCAGACCGACCTTCTAACCCTGACAGTGCTTAACAATACTAGAGCACATTTTAAGCACTTTGAGCCTCCTGAATTTCTAAAGACTGATGTATTTAGAAAGTCCATGTGGAGTAGAATTCATTTGAACAACTCAGCTATGCTTAACATACAAACGTCCTTGGAAACATGAAAAATAAAAACGTTCCAGCTGGAACGCCTTCCTGGTGACGGTTCTACTCAGAATACCAAAGAGTCAGGAAGGCTCAAATAATTATTTGGAGCAGATCTCTAGCAATGAGAAATGATTAAGAACAACTTTGTATTTATCTTGAATAAATTAATCATAGAGTTAGGAAAGGGTAGTAAGTAGAGACGTTGAAGAAATGAACAACTACTGTCATAAAAACTGAACTTTAAATTTTTTGTTATTTTTTAGAAAGTCTTTAATTTGCCCTCAAGTGTCACAACAAATCCATAGCTTGCTGATCTATGATCTCTCCTCTCCCTCTTTCTGGAAAAGGAAAGAAAATTCTTAAATCGAAGTGATTATTAATTACTGGTTAGCATATTTTAAAAACATAGGCCTGGCATCTCTTTCAAGCTCAATCTCAGAACGTCAAGGGCATTCTAATGTTCTTCCTCAATAGCATTACTGTCTTGGAAATGCAACTTCATTTTAATAAATATATTTATATTTACTAATAACTGTACTAATCATCTCACTAAATTTTTTTATGAGAAAATAGTTCTTCCATATAAATATTTTTTTGCATTCCCTAATTGATTAGAGAGGGCTTTACTAGTGTTTTTACGGCTTCCTACATAAATAAGAATTAAGAAGTTTGTCCTAGGCCTTTTCTCTGAGCCTGTGTGAACTCACACTATACGTGGTCCTGGGTTTTACCCTTAATAGGTAAGTAATTAATAGTGTGACATCAACATTGTGAACCCTCTCGGAGTAATTCTAAAGCAGTATGTTTGTTCTTCCAGAAAACGTATTAAATATCCCAGGGTGCATCATTAGAAATCACCTCTGGGACTGCCTGCAGAAATTCCAGCACAGTTTGCGGAGCATTTGGTGTTTGGATGCAACATCTGGTGAACAAGAAGTCTAAGCCAAGAACAGATGTGAGATGGAGGCCCCGTTTGAGTAGGGACAGTGATTTAATAGAATTGACCAGAAATGCCTGTCCCAAATTAGAGGAAACTTAACAAAGCCAATCCATACTGAGTGTTTTCATGCATTTTACATTGTGACGAGCTAGCAACTTAATACCCAGTCAGATCTACTGCTATAAATCTTATCTTTCTCCTAAAGAGGACCCAGCCCTTTTAGATTCAAAAGCACTTCTTTCCGGAATGCTACTGAACAGAGAAAAAAAGAGCCTGGAACTAAAAATAGGACTTGAAGCGAGATAGCACCACCAGATGGCGCTGCTGTAGCAGACCTAGAAGAAAAGCTAGCGCATGGGAGCTCGCGGGGAGCGCGGGGTCTTCTGGTCCCGGGGCTCTGCGGCGTTCGAGGACGGCCGCGGACCTGGCCAGGCCTCCTCGCACTCGAACCAACTGCATTTGGGGTGGCCGGCGGCTTAGACGCTGCAACCTGACTTCTCCTCCCCGATCTGTTCTGTCCCGCTGTCCCTTTGGTCAGGAAGCACCAGCTGGCGATGCAGAGTCTCCACCCGTAGGGCCAGAGGGGACCCAGGAACCCCGAGGAGGATTGCTAAAACAGGACCCCAATTCCCTGAAATATGCGAGGCTGAGCTGGTAACGAGCGGGTGAATGCGAGGCAGTCCCCTATCGTTCCCTCCCCGCCGACCGGACCTGGGTCCCCACGTCAAGATCTGTGGCTGGAGACCGTCCCGGCGCTCTGTTCCCCGCTGGCCGCTTCCCGCATCTGTGCTCCTCCCCGGAGTCGCCCTCCCCCAGCCTGCCTCCCTCTGACGATGGGAACTGGCCCGAGACACGCGCGCCCGGGCCAAGTCCTGGTTTTGATTTCTCTCCCGACTCCGAGGAACGAAGAGGCTCCCACCCCACAAACAGGAAGGAGAGAAGGACGGGAGTGCGGGCAGAGGGAGGGTCTTTCCCAGCAGCGCTGCCCGGGCCGGGCCAGGGCAGGGGGAGGAAGCACGCACCCCTGCCCTGACGCGCCAGTGGGAGGAGAGCCCCGGAGTGGAGCAAGGAGGAGCGCGGCAAGGAAGGTTCGAGGGGCGGCTCCGGGACAAGGGGGCTCCGGGGGCGGGGCGGGGCGGGGCGGGGGCTCCCAGGGTGCGCCGTCCACGCCCCCCCTCCCCGCGCCCCGGGGCGCCCCCGCAGTTCTGGAGCCGAGGCGGGGCCTGCGCGTCAGCCCGGGCTAGAAAAGGCGGCTGGCCCGGCCCAGCGAGCTGACAGCCGCGCTCACACACCCAGCCTGGCCCGACGCCGCCATGAGCGCCGCGCTCTTCAGCCTGGACGGCCCGGCGCGGGGCGCGCCCTGGCCCGCGGAGCCCGCGCCCTTCTACGAGCCTGGCCGGGCCGGCAAGCCGGGCCGCGGGGCCGAGCCGGGGGGCCTGGCCGAGCCGGGCGCCGCTGCCCCCGCTATGTACGATGACGAGAGCGCCATCGACTTCAGCGCCTACATCGACTCCATGGCCGCCGTGCCTACCCTGGAGCTGTGCCACGACGAGCTGTTCGCCGACCTCTTCAACAGCAACCACAAGGCGGGCGCGGCGGGTGCGGGCGCGGGCGCCCTGGAGCTCCTGCCCGGCGGCCTCGCGCGACCCCCCGGGCCGGGCCCCGCCGCCCCGCGACCGCTCAAGCGCGAGCCCGACTGGGGGGACGGCGACGCGCCCGGCTCGCTGCTGCCGGCGCAGGTGGCCGCGTGCGCGCAGACCGTGGTGAGCCTGGCGGCCGCCGCGCAACCCACACCACCCACGTCGCCGGAGCCGCCGCGCTGCAGCCCCGGGCCGAGCCCCGCGCCCGGCCCGGCCCGGGAGAAGGGCGCCGGCAAGAGGGGCCCGGACCGCGGCAGCCCGGAGTACCGGCAGAGGCGCGAGCGCAACAACATCGCCGTGCGCAAGAGCCGCGACAAGGCCAAGCGGCGCAACCAGGAGATGCAGCAGAAGCTGGTGGAGCTGTCTGCCGAGAACGAGAAGCTGCACCAGCGCGTGGAGCAGCTCACGCGGGACCTGGCCGGCCTCCGGCAGTTCTTCAAGCAGCTGCCCAGCCCGCCCTTCCTGCCGGCCGCGGGGGCCGCGGACTGCCGGTAACGTGCGGCCCGGGCAGGAGAGACTCACCAACGACCGATACCTCAGACCCGATGGGCCGGAGCGGAGCGCGCCCTGCCGGATGCCGCGAGGGCCGCCCGGCGTCGGCTACAGTTTCTTTGGGACTTATGAGCGAAAGGAAGCTTCAGCCTGGACTTACCACCCCTGAACTTCGAGAAAAGCTATACGTGTTTATTTTCCCTTAAATTATTTTTATAATGGTAGCTTTTTCTACATCGTACTCTTATTGATGCAGCTAAGGTACATTTGTAAAAAAAACCAACACTTTTCAGACAAACCCTTTGTATTGTAGATAAAAAGACGGAGCATGCTCACTTTTTTGTATTAATTTTTACAGTATTTGTAAGAATAAAGAAGCATTTAAAACCACCCCTGATTCCTGTATTCACAGTGACTCCCGCACGCCGGTGGCCCCCGGACCCCGCTGGGGAAGGCGCATTCCAGTGCCGGGCGTGCAGCAAGGCACACGGTGTGTACCCAAGGGGAGACCAAACTTCTTAGAAGAGAGGGTTTGCTTTGCTTTTGGAACGTGCCAAAGTCTTCTTCTAAATGTTTTATTTAACTTGGCTAAGATCGGGGAAGCACGACTAAGCTCATGTTAAACTAGCAGCTTTCCCGTGGAAGCTGGTCCCCGAAAAATAGCCAGACTCAGGAAGGGGGCTGGCTGGTCAACTGGCCCTGCAGCTGATTTGGGGGCCCTGTTGAGACCAGCGAAGAGCTCCCTAACCTTAGGTGAGGGGGTAGAGGAGGGGTCAGGTTATCCCAAAAGCACGTTGGAATCCTCTTTGGCGTTCATGGGACTTTGCTTTCCTTGGTCTCAGGGCCAGCTTCAGACTTTTCAAAGTGCATTTGTAGATGAAAAGGACAGTCACAAAGCTACTTACACCCGGCTGTCTTGCTGGTAATCGTAATGTTTCAAAGCTTAATCTGGATAAAGCCGTTTACTTTCCCCCCTTCTACGTCTGTCTTATGTAATGAATTAACTATGGCCTGTGGTGATTATATTGTTATAAGAAACAAAATCTTTAGTGTCCAAAGATAGTTAATTCATGGTTTTAGGTGTAATTTAAATCTCTGCCAACAAAGCAAATGATAACCACCTACCCCTCTTGAGTCTGTAATCTGGGTGCTCTGTGCACAGTGCACAGGAGGCAGCATGGTTAAACAGGCCTATCTAGGGTGAGCTGCCTGTGCAGCTTTGCTATTATCTGTGCAGTGTTGCTATAATCACACCCATTAATTTACCTACACTTTATGGGTAACAGTTTTACCTCTGACATAGTTTCCCAGAACATTTTCCCAAAAATATTGAACTGCAAAATGCTTAGTTTGGACATTTATTGTAGAGAAATATCACAATGTAGGACAAAGGTTTAAGCTTTGCAGGGTATTCTTTGGAGGAATGTTAAATACAAGAAAAACGTGTTGAATCATGGTAAAATTTTAAACACTGAAAAATTACAATTGAACAAAATACTTTTTTCTGCTATAATACAAAGTAAAGACCTCAAGCTTATTTAAGCTTTAATAACATGTTCCTAAATTTGCAGAAAGATAATAAAAAATATATAACCATAGAGAAAAGTATTTTGATTTATAGTTCACAAAACCATTTTACTTAACATTTGCCCTAGAAAAATCTAAGTTCCATTTCAAGATCATAAAATACGTTCACTCTGCCCATAGTTAACAAATAACTACCAAAAACCACCACCACCCCCCCTGCAGCCACATTGCAAAGTTCACAGATCCTATGGCAACTGACGGTGTTCTGAAGAGGCTCTTCCTGCACTCAGGAGCTCAATCTCCTCCAATCCAATGCAGCTGGTCGGATGGGTGGTTATGGACTGGACGAAACAGTTTAACAACCCCACCTCCTTTCCGAGGACACTCTTCACTTCATAAGTCTGCAGTGATAAAAGGCGTACTGGTTAAAGCAAACAGAGTTAGCCCTGGACATTCTGTTCCCAACAACACAGAATACCAAAGAGCAGAGCAGAAGGCCCCTTCCCCTGTCCATGATCTTCCGGTCTTCAAACGGTGAGAGCAATGTTGGTGAGGAGGAAGATATGAAGTGCAGTGATAAAGGCCCTATTTATTATGGCAAATGAAGGAACATTTTTCCGAAAAGTGAATTCTATTTTTATGCTAGAACATTTAAAATATCTCATATTGATGTTTGTTAGTGGATGCAATGCTAAGCATCTCCCAGCTGGCTGTGCTCAGAGAGGAACTGGGGGGAAAAGACACACAAAGGGATGTGCCCGTTTTCTAGCTTGGGGGCTGGGCATGCACTGTGCTTGCAGCTGTCTCCCACTTCCTTTGGGACACTTCCCCAATCTAGCAACACTGCTGGTCAAAGGATTTCCTGGTACTTTGCCCCAAACTTCCCTCCTTAATAGGATCCCATTTCTAGAGTTACATTGAGCTAAACACCTCTTTCTATGTTGTAGAAAACTTTCTCTTCACATTCTATTTGATGACTATCTTATGGTGATTGGTTAATTTCGGGCAAGTTTCATCTCTAGATGAGAACACAGGGCACTGGGCAGCAGGGGTACTCAATGACTAGGCTTTGAAGGTGTTGTGTGCCCTCACTTGGCCTCCATAAATCAAACCTCAGGACATTTTCTTCCTGGGGTAGGGGTGGGCTGCGAGTACAGAGAGGCTCAAAAGCATTGGGATAAATTACATCTCTGGCCTTATTGGAGACTGAAGCCCTAGAAAGTAATGTGTTCTTTCAGAAACTCCTTTTCTGCCACTTGCAGGGCACTATTAGGGGTACCTCTCACCCTCCTCTGTGCAAGACACTTGAAAAATCTCTCAAGAGCTCTGTTCACTATGTGTTAAGTCACCCCTTCCATCATTAATATGTCTTGGTGAAGGGGACTGAGGCGAGAGGGGTCAGACAAAATGGCCCAAACAGGAGCATGTCTGTGGCTCCCTGGGCCCTCCCATCAAAGATGGGCATCTCCCTACATCACTCTGGGTCTCAGCTGGGCTCAGTGACCGGCTTCTCATGAACAGAGCGAAGTGGAAGGGATGCTGAGTGACATCCAAGCTCGGGCAGGAAAGGTGCCCAGCTTCTGCCTGCCTCTCTCGGGACCCAGACACATGCTGTGAGGGAGTCCACACATTGTGGATGTCTGGCTAGCTCTTGGGAAGGTCCCAGCTGACAGGAGCACAATGACCAGTGGGGACTGATGGGCCTTCTGTGACTCCAGCCCAGTCTTTGGGGCACCAGCTGATGCCCAGTGGAACAGAGACGAGCTGTCCTGGCGAAGCCATGTCCAAACTGCAGGTCTGTGAGCAGAATAAGTGTGGAAGCCACTAAGCTTTGAGATGGTTTGTTTTGAAGGAATAAATATCAGGATCAATCTGGGATATGAACACTGCTCTAATGCCAATTCACTGTGATACGTTCATTTTCCCATCTACAAAACAGGCACAGTGCAAAAGACCTTGCCTATTCAATATGATTTGTAAAAAGTTTGGCTTCCTTAGTAAACAGTTAGAGTAAGTTCAACGGAGTGGTTTACTGGAGTGATGAGGGCTGAGATTTGCTGGTCAAGACAGAAGAGACAGGACTAAAAGTCTCTGACTCAACAATGGTGGCCAAGGCGTCTCTGCAGCCAGGGCTCATACGTGAGGCAGATGTCAGGTTCATGACTTACTTTCTCCATCACTCACTGAGGGTTTATTATGAGCCCACGGGGGCCTGACACTGAAGAATGGCAGTGAACAAGACAGAGCTGTAAGGCTGCCTGTCTGGAGGGAGAGCAGGGTGGCACAGAGTGGGGTCACCATATGGGGCTGGGAGGACTGAGGCAGTACTGCCAGGTCCTTTTCTGTTGTCTCTTGCCATTTTTGTTAGGCTTGCATGCTGTGTGTGTGGGAAACAAATGGCCCAGGCATTCCTACACCCATTTGGGGGAAAAGTATGGAATTCTGACTTGAAAGTAAGTCAGCAAATATCATTTCTTCTTAAAATGTCAGGTTTGGCAGACACAGTCTTCCATAATAACTATACCATTTATAAATGGAGATTAAATTATAAATATTTTATATTTGGGGGAAATTAATACAGAGAAGTTAAAACAATTACGCCAGCAAACTCACATGCACTGTTCATATGACTGCATATATGCAGACGTATCAAATGTCTCTCTATTTTTAAAAGGCACAATATATTTTCCTTTAAAGCTTCCTTTTCTGAAAGCTAAGGAAACAAACTCCAAATTTCCTATCACTGTAATGTTATCTTTGTGAAGTGACATGTACAACGGCAGCCAATTCCATTGTTTTCACATCTGTAGCTTGACCACACTAAAGTGAAGGAATAAAATTTAACACTCATGTATCCTAACCAGAAACAGTACATTTGTTCCAGGAATAGAGTTATGGTTCTTGTGGAGAGACTAATTTGATTCTTTGGATTTTGGCAAATGTGTGCTCTCTCCCAGAAAACTGACAGAATCCACACTGGAAAACTTGCAGCCGATGTCTACACATAGGTCCTTTTCATACCCAACTTCTACCAGTTGCGTTCCAGGTCGGATGTGAAGCCTTGATTATCGACAATGAGTAAAACTAGGGGTAAGGAGCTTACTAAAATGTACCTCCAGGCTTAAACTTACCCTCATCTTACTGGTGTCAGCTCTGATAGAGCACCCACAAAGGTGACAGGTGAGGCTATCACTACCCTATTCCTCTCACCCAATGCACATGTGCACACACAGGCACACACTCAAGCACACAAGTACACAAGCACACACTGGCGTTCACACATATGCCCTTTTGAGCTCTTTATAAGTAGAGTTTTACCTATGGGAGTACTGTAGTTGAGAGGTTTAATGTATGGGAGGTACAAGCCAGCCTTGGTCAGAAGGAAATCAAGTGAATGGGGGAGGATTTCTGCCAGGGCCTCCTCCTGGTCTCCGGGTCCCTAAAGAGAAGTAGGGTGGTCAAAGCCTCTCCATCACTGGAGGCTTCCTGGAGGAAGCACCAGGCTGCTCTCTGAGGAGCCTGCAGGGACCCAGTGGGAAATCAGGCTGGAGCCTGGAGGGGCCAGCCAAGGCCACTTGAGGAACCGCAGGCAGGTATTGTGTCTCTGTGATATGCTGTGTGGAACAGCAGATGAGCTGTGCGCCATCCCCCAGTGGTGCTGGTGTTAGTTTGTTTAGGTTGTGGGTTTTGGTTCATTCTGCTGTGTGCTGCTTAAGCAGGACTTTCCCCAATGCTTTCCCCCAACATTCTCCACAGAAATATGTTCCCTGATAAGCCAGATCTGCATCTTTGGCACTTTTTAAAAGCCCCCTACCTTGGAAACCTCCAATCCCTCAGCCTTACCTAGCACTACGCCTTTCTTTCTTCCTCCCTCCCTCCCTCGTGGACAGAGAGATGAGGTGACAAGGAGTCAGTCCACAGCTACTGCTGCCTTGTCACCCATTAAACATATGAACTTTAATAAGAACAGAAATACACACACAAGGTCCCTGTCACACACACCTCCATCTGGGTTGGCTACCACCTCTGCCAGCTGGTCGGTTGTGAGAATAACAATGACTTTCCCTTTGTGGGATGTCTTTGCATCCAACAAAGACAGGGGCTGTGAGGCCCATACTCTTTGTCTTCTCAGCAGTAAAATGTGGATTCTGCCCCACTAGGATGTTGGGGAGATTAAATGAGGCAATATGTGAGAAAAGCAGCAAGAACAGTTCTTGGTCCACTGTAATTGTTTACATCTTACTTTTACACAATAAAGGAATATTTGTTTATAAACCCTCCGACAGCATGGTCAATCCCTGTTTGTGCAGCAGCCCCTTAAATGAAGGTTTGGAGCTGTGTGTGTGTTTGTAGGGGGGGTGTCACAGAATTGCTTTTTTTTTTTTTTCTTGTTGGGGAAGATTTGCCCTAACATCTCTTGCCAATCTTCCTCTTTTTTTAATGTGAGCTGCTGCCACAGCATGGCCACTGACAAACAAGTGGTATGGTTCTGCACCCAGGAACTGCACCTGGGGTGCCAAAGCAGAGCACACTGAATTTTAACCACTAGGCCACTGGGGCTGGCCCCAGAATTGCTTTTAAGAGTCATGCCCAGGCCCGTGGGCTTCATCCCAAGGAGGGTGCTGGACACTTCTTTTAGAGCTCCACAGGTGATTCTACCCTGAAATCAGAGCTGGAAACCACAGGCTCAGACTAGTGATCCTCAAAGATTCTGTTCATGGATTTATCCACATTCTGATTTAATTGAAACTTTGATAGCCATGGTTTAGATGAAAGGGTGCAAATGGCTGCTCTGCCACCTGGTGCTGCTAGCTTCTCGAGGCACAGGGGCTGGTGAAGGGCTGGAGAGGGCAGCCCTGAGGTGAGGAGCCTCCACAGGATGGATCAAATTAGCCTCAAATTCTGGCTAGAATCAGAGCTGGAATTTGGCTATGGGAACCCATCAGAAAATTATGCAGATGATCAGCGTACCCTTTCACCACAACCCCATGAGCTGGGCCAAGTCTGCTACCTAGATGTGGACCCCTACACCGGTCACAGACACCTTTTGCGACTCGGAAGGCTGTGCCCTGGCACCACTCCAATAGTCAGTTCCCAGTGCCCTTCTTGGGTTTAGCGATTCCATGGGCCACTTGTGGTGCTTTTAAATGGTTTTGACAAGAGACAGACATGGCATCTCAAGGACAGACGTCTCTCATTTGTGAGGGCCAAATTTCATGAAGAAGAAACTGTTTTTGGCCCATAAGGAGCATACCACTTTACTAAGTCTCACCATAGTAACTCTCAGGGCAGGCAAACCAGTTCTGAGAAATAATGGTAAAGTTTTCAGTTACTCAGACTCTGGAATACCCAGCAATTGAAAAAAAAAAATGTGTGTCTCAGATAATTCTGTTCTATCAACGTGAAATCATGGCAGTAGGCTTCAAATCTCAAGACTGTCTTAGCATAATCAAAGTCAGGGAGACAGATTCACGTAGCTACTGCAAGGTTGATCAGGAAATAACCTCAATTCCAAAAAGGAATGGATCTCCTTAGCAGACACGGGCATTTGTTAGTGAATGACAGCAGTAAGACTTATTTAGACTTATCAGCATAGTCTAAACACTTAGCATGCACACATCTATATTGCTGGGCTTTGTTGTAATTGAAAATACACAGAGGAGGGGTCTTCTTCTGGGGATGATCTGCTAACACAGGGCTTAAGAGAATAAGGACACACACCTGGGCTGGGCGTCCCTGGACTTACCCCATCATCGCAGGCGGCAAACCTCAGGAGTGAAGCAATACTGCTCTGCAGCAGCTGTAGTAACAGTGAAACAGGCCGCGTCAAATCCCGCTACTGCAGTAAGTGCTCATGCTAAAATACCCATGTCCTGAAATTAACATGCTAAATGTAAACCATCTAGCTTCTCTTTAGTAGTTTCAATCTCAAAGCCTTAAGTCAAACGTGATTTTTAAGTCACAGACATGGCAAGACCGTATTCCTGAGGGTGACTCTTTCCCCCTTTCCCAGGGAAGAGCAATAGATGCAACTCTCTCTTGGCCAGGGAGTCAAAGTGTCTCCATGTGGTGGAACTGGGATGTACCCGAGCTCCTGTACTAGCTCCTACCTTGACCCTCACTGTGCACTGGGGTCGCGAGGGGCAGTCCAGGAAGACCTGCAGGTGTCTTCTGAGAAGAGGAGAGGTGACCACACGGGAGCAGTCCCCACAGGAAAAGGCGCCTCTGTTGTTTCGAAATGCACAGGGAAGACAAGACCAAAAAGGCATAAGTCAGAAGAGTTTAGCAGCAGAAAGGCATTTTTATAAACATGAATGTTTGCTGAGATAGAAAAGGGGGATTTACTTTCAGAAGCCAAGTTCCTGAAATAGGCCAAAAGAAGCCCCAGGCTCATCCTGTTCTGAGGGATAAACGTCAGCTTCTGACTAATGGCTGCATGGGCATGTAATAACCTGGAGGATGGAAGGGGCACTTAGACAGAGAAGGCTCATTCAAGCTGAGCATAGTGGATGACAGAAAATATCCCATGAAGCAAGTGAACGCCCTCTGCGAGGCAAGGGGAAGTGAAGGCCTCCCATCAATCTGAACGGGAAAACCTATTTTTAATCACCAGTATCTATGCTCCTTACTGCTACCATGTAAACTTGTGATTCACATTCTTCTTGTCTCTTAAATATGATCCAGTGATGACTTGTTTATATATAAGACCAGCAACACAGGAGGTATTAAGGAGCAAAAGGCGCCATTTGCCCGTTGCTTCTTAAGTAGCAGAAAAGTAATGAGCTTGCCCCTTTCTGTCATATGACAAAGTCAACTTGGGAGGCCAGAGAACTGACTCAGAGAACTGCATCAGGACCCAGCCCCAGACCTGGCCCTTACGGAGGAGTGCATAACACTGGGCAGGGAAGGAGTGTCCATGGATGAAGCTGTGCTTTGGTCTCTGGAAAAGTTTGCACCACTGCAAAGACAAGCTGTACAGTTACCAAGTTTGTCTTACTTATTCATGTTGGCCCTGAGTTTTTCCTTTTTCTCTAGACTGATAATAAAGGAGCTGAGGACAAAATGTGGCTCTTTTCTCTTTTGAGAGGAGCTGTAAGAAACAGCAAAAATCCCTGTTATGAAGAAAGAAAACACACCGCACACCATGGCCCCTTCCCTGCACTCAGCAGACTCAGTTTCCCACTTGGAGCTCATGCCTGGTCCCTGGCACTGCGGAAGCTGACCTGAGGCAGGAAGGCAGTGGGGACCCTGAGGCTGGGTTGCTGCCACCCTGGGGTCTTTCAGGCCAGCTCCTGCTCCTTTACCTGTCTTCTGGGCTCTGTTTTAATCTCTCGTTGCCACACAGGTCACACGTAGGCCACGAGAAGGCAGTGCTCTCGTCCACACCAACCACAGCGCCTAGGCCCAAGTGAAAGCAAAGCCAGAATCTCAGAGGTGGTTTCTGCTTCCCAACTTCTCTTTGCCTCTCAGGCCAGAGATGATAACATAAGGCGCCTCAGATTTTTTTCTACCTTGTGAATTTATATAAACGTTCCTAAGCTTTTTATAATTTCCATTTATTGCACAAACAAAATTACAATAAAAAGTGAGTTTTAAAACTTGCCCATAGTACTACCTAACCAAGTATTTTCATTTTTGCTCAATCTTTTCTAGTTTTTTCCAGATGCATACATATTTAAATTGTTACCAGCAAACCATCAGCACAATAACTCATTCTATCTTTTAGGTTGCTGTATAACTGTTGTTTTCTTGTTTATAATGACTTCTGAGAAAAGTGAAAGAAGAAAGTGCCAAAGCAGGACTGCATTTGAACATCAAGAAGACAGAAAGCATGACTTTAGGACCACCCAATTTTAACGTAGACAATGCAGACTTTGAAATTGTTAAAGATTTTGTCTACCTTGGTTCAGTCATCAATTTAAACAGAGACTGCAGACAAGAAATCAAGAGAGGACTGAGTCTTGGAAGGATGGCAGTGAAAGAATTAGGAAAGATCATCAAGTGTAAGAAAGTGTCGTTAGAGACTAAGGCCAAGACTATCCACACCCTCGTATTCCCAATTACTATGTACTGGTGCGAAAGCTGGACAGTGAAGAAGGCTGACAGGAAAAAAATAGATTCATTTGAACTATGACATTGAAGAAGAGCTCTATGACTACCCTGGATTGCCAGAAAGATGAACAGTGGATCCTATAGCAAATTAAGCCTGACCTATCACTGGACGCAAAAATAATAAAACTGAGGCTGTCCTACTCTGGGCACATCCTGAGAAGGCAAGATTCTTTGGAGAAGACAATAATGCTGGGAAAAGGAGAAGGAGGTAGGAGAAGAGGAAGATCAAACACGAGATGGGTTGATTCCATAAAGGAAGCCACAGGCATGAGTCTACAGAAGCTGAGTAGGGCTGTTGAGGACAGGACGTTGCAGACATCACTCATTCATAGGGTCGCCAGGAGTCGGAGCCAACATGATGGCAGGTAACAATGATAGCTGTTGTAAGGATTGTTTTATCTATCTTATTGATATTCCAGTTAGGAGGTGTGTCACAGTTCCCTCAACCATTTTCATATCAGACATTTAGTTCTCCAAATTACTTTAGTGGTGAGGCAGTGGGTAATTTTGTGCATAAGGCCTTTTCTGTACTGAGATCCTTTCCTTAGGTTAGATTCTTGGAAGTAGAATTACAGTGTCAGAGTATGAGCATTAGAGATGTAGAAATACTCTTTTAGAAGGTGTTTCCCACAAGGACTTGCTGATTCACACTGTCACCATCCATTCACAGAGTGCCAGTTTCACTGCCCTGAACCCTGACACGAGCTTAAGTATTTGCCTCCTTATATATATGGTATAATGGAATTACTTATTTTAGTTTCTACTTCTTTGATAAGGAAAGATAAATATTCTTATTAGTTTGTTAATATCTCTTCTTATGTGATTTCTCTGGTTTCCTTATTTCTTTTTTACTCTAACATTTGTGATTTATTTATTTGACAAACAAATCTGTATACAATGCTATTTAGTGTGGGCTCTATGTGTAGCATTAAAAACATAAAGATGAATGCTATAACCCCTACTCCCATGGACTGCACAGTCTCATTGGTAAGGGAGATAAACAAATAATGAGTACAAATGTCATGAAATATGGGAGAAAATATTTGCAAAAGAGATATCTGATAAAGGACTGGTATCCAAAACATACAAAGAACTCTTGGAACTCGACAAAAGAAAATGAACAACCCAATTAAAAAACAGGCCAAAGACTTTAACAGACACCTCACCAAAGAAGATATACAGATGGCAAATGAGCATATTAAAAGATGTTCCACATCATAGGTCATCAGGGAAATGCAAATTAAAACAACAATGAGATACCACTACACATCTATTAGAATTATCAAAACCAAACACTGACAACATCAAATGCTGGTGAGGATGTGGAGCAACAGGAACTCTCATTCATTACTGGTGGGAATGGAGAATGGTCCCGCCACTTTGGAAGACAATTTGGCAATTTCTTACAAAACTAAACATAGTTTTACCATACAGTCCAGCAGTCGTGCTCTTTCAACCCAAAGGAGTTGAAAGCTTATATCCACACAAAAACCTGCACATAGATGTTTATGGCAGCTTTATTCACGATTGCTATAACTTGGAAGCAACCAAGATGTCCTTCAGTAGGAGACTGGATAAACAAACTGTGGTATATCTAGACAATGGAATATTATTCAGCTATCAAGTCATGAAAAGACATGGAGAAAACTTAAATGCATATTACTAAGTGAAAGAAGCCAGTTAGGAAAAAGCTATATACTGTAGGACTCCAACTATATGACGTTCTAGAAAAAGTAAAACTATACAGACAGTAAAAAGAGCAGTAGTTGTTAGGTATTAAAAGGGAGGGAGGGATGGATAGGCAGAGTACAGAGGATTTTTAGGGCAGTGAAACTACTCTGTATGATACCATAATGATGGATACATTTCTCTAAACTCATAGAAAGTATAACACCGAGAGTGAACTCTAATGTAAACTATAGACTTTGAGTGATAACGATGTGTCAAAGTAGGTTCATCTATTGTAACAAATGTACCATCTGGTAGGGCATGTTGATATGGCAGAGGCTGTGCAGGTGTAGGGGTAAGGAATATATGGGAAATCTCTATACTTCCTGCTCAATTCTGCTGTAAACTTAAAACTGCTCTAAAAAAGTCTATTTTTTTTTAAAAAATAGTCTATTTAAAAAAAATACCATGCAATAAATGCTAGTGGAAAAGACCCCTCATGGGTGCAGAAGAGAGGCCCTCCAGGCTGGCTTGAGGATCAGGAAAGGCTTCCTAAAAGAAGGGACATGAGGTGGACTGCAGGTGGGGAGGTGGGCGCAGGCTGACCCTGTACCTTGCTGTGGGGCTGGAGGCCAGGTAGGCATAAAGGACAGGTAGGTGAAATGGCTGTGAAGTTGGCAGACCATAATCATCTAGGATCTTGCTGGAGATTTTAGACTTGATCTTGGAAGGGATGAGAAACCAGTGAAGAATTTTAAACAGGGGACTGAGATGGTCTGATCTTCTTGCAGTATGAAGCAATATAGATATCATCTACATACACTGGCAAATCACAGACCATCCTCATCAAAAAGTGGTGAAATCAGACATTTGAAGAAAAAGTAAAATGTGACCTAAGTTTCCAGAAAAATAGAAGAGTTATTCTTCCTACTCCTGGAGCAAAGAATTTCATTCCTCACTAGAACAAGCATTAGGAGAAAATTTATCTGCAGAAGATAAGCTCACCATTTTTGAGGGTTTGGAAAAAATTAGGGTACATGGCAGGCAATGAAAGAAAACTAAGGTCAATATAGAATTCCATGAAAAAAAATCAGGGGCCGGCCCCATGGCTGAGTGGTTAAGTTTGCACACTCCGCTTCAGTGGCCCAGGGTTTCACTGGTTCTGATCCTGGGTGCGGACATGGCACCGCTCATCAAGCCATGCTGAGGCAGCATCCCACATGCCACAACTAGAAGGAGCCACAACTAAAAATATACAACAATGTACCAGGGGCACTTTGGGGAGAAAAGGGAATAATAAAATCTTTAAAAAAAATCATACAAGAAAGGAAATAGCAGTGTAGTATACTATTTTCCTTTTCAGTGAAAAATATATATATAATCATGATAATAAAAATACCATTTATTGATTTTCATCTTTAAGAATCAACCTGTAGACAAAGTGTGCAAAGTTTAATTATAGCTATGAAACAGAATATTATCAATTTTAACAATATACAGTACAGAAACAACTGTAGGAAGATGGAAAGGAAGAGTGCAGTAAAATAAGGACATGAGAGCTAATATTCTTTTCTTTCAAACAGTGAAACGAAGATACTATCTTTAGCAGATTGAACAACAAACAAATAAAACCCCTGCAGCCAATATCATACTTAATGGTGAAAAAGTAGATGTTTTCCCTTCAAGATCAGGAACAGAGCAAGCAAGTCCCCTCTCACTACTGCTATTCAACATGATACTATAAGTCCTAGCTAATGCAGTAACACAAGAAAAGAAAATAAAAGTATACAGATTGGGGAGGAAGAAAAAACTGTCCTGTTCTCAGATGACATAGTTTTCTACATACAATATCCCAAAGAAGCAAAACAAAAAACTACTAGAACTATGAAACGATTATAGTAAGGTTGTAGGATACAAAGTTAAAAAACAAAAGTCAATTGCTTTCTTATACTAGCAACAAACAAATGGTATTTGAAATCAAAACACAACAGCATTTACATTAGCACTAAAATAAATTAAATACTTAGATATACATGTAACAAACAGGTACAAGATCTATATGAAGAAAACTACAAAACTGCTGAAAGAAACCAAAGAGCTAAATAAATAGATATTCCATGTTCATGGATAGGAAGACTCAATAGTGTTAAGGTGTAAATTTTTCCCAAGTTGATCTATAGATTCAATACAATCCCAATCAAAACTCCAGCAAGTTATTCTGTGGATATCAACGAACTGATTTTAAAGTTTATATGGAAGGCAAAAAGACCTAGAATACCCAAGACAATATTGAAGAAAACAAAGCTGGAGAACTGACACTACCCAACTTCTAGACATACAAGAGAGGTATCAATATCAAGATAGTGTGGTATTGGTGAAAGAACAGATAAATAAATCAGTGGACAGAAAAGAGAGCCTAGAAATAGACTCACATAAATATAGTCAAGTGATCTTTGACAAAGGAACAAAGACAATTATATACAGAAAGGATAGTCTTTTCAACAAACAGTGTTGGAACAACTGGATATCCACATGCAAAAAAACAAATCTAGAAAGAGACCTTACACCTTACACAATAATTAACTCAAAATGGAGCATAGACTTAAACATAAAATTCA